TACATAGCTATAATAAGCATTAACATTGAGATTTAAAATCCAAGAATTTACATATAAAGTAATGGGCACGGCTAGAGTAGTTTTGCCATACCATTTCCCTATTCAATTTTCTATGGAGTCATCAGATAACACAATTTATGAAGTAATTCACACTTATTCACAAATATTTACTTTATTTTATTATATTTTTTATGTTTAGTATTTTTCTAATTACACCAACATAAAACTTTAATATGGTCTAGATGCCCAATTTGAATAAACGTCGATGAGATTGCCGTTAATACCACCTCTTTGAAAAAATGAAGATGATAACAATCTCTCTACTCCGAAAATTCTATGGAGTTATCGGATGGTTTTCTTATGGAGTCATCCACCACTTAATGTATTGCCACTTGTCCAAATTGTATTTATTGTAGGACACGTGTCAATACACTATTGGTGAATAAGTGTGGATGCCGCCATAAGTCGAGCCATCCGATGGCTCCATAGCAAAACTGCTCTCCATAAAAGGCCTCTTTGTCTATTTGGCTATTAACTGATACGGAATTTTACTAGTAGATTGTAATATTTGTTTGTAAATAATTGTTTGATAAATAACGGATTTTGTAGCTATTTGCAAATTTTAGGTCAATATGTTATCCGGGTAAAATATACATGACTCTCTTGTATTATAAGAAATTTGCGCGTTTTCCTCTAGTATTAAAAATTGCATTAGACTCGATTGTATTGACTAATTGTTGCACGATTCCCCCATCTCCGTCCAACTTGAAGGCGCGTGCAGTACACATTTCTGTAATGCGAAAATTATACATTTTTTCATATATTTTCTTTTATTTTAAAATTAAAATTTACTATTTCGCCCATTGTTTTTCTACTCATTATATGCAAAAATCACAGTTCCTGGGATTTGATCTTAGGCCAAAAGTTCAATGGGCAAGGCTTCACACCACTCTACCACCATCATTCTATGGTACATATCAAACACACATTTATTTAAAACTGCAGAACACAAGAAAATTAATCAAACAAAAAATAAAACAATCACAAAATAAAGTAACAATAGAAAATATAATTAAAATAAAATATAATAAAAATTAAATATGAAAATTAAAAATAAATAAATATATTATTATTTAATATAAAAATAAAATGATAATTTCATTTAAATAATTAAAAAAAATATAACTATAAAATAAATTTTAATATAAATTTTAAATATACATTTTTATGGATTGAATTAATATAATATATATAAATAAAATTAAACTAAATTAAATTAAGTTAAATTAAATTTATTTATAATAAAATAAAATGATATTTCTATATATAATATATTACTAAAGTAGTAATTTGTAAATAAAATATTTTGTATTCAATAATTATATTGTATATGTTTCTTTTATTTAGTTTTTATATTATTTTATATTTTTTTAAATGTTCGATAAATATACGAATTTTATTTTTTTCAATAAAATTCTTATTTTTGAATTTGTAATAAATAATTTAAGTACTTAGTATTTGTTCAGTTTATTTATTTTAAATTTTGGTAAATGTATAATAAACAAAAAAATAATATTTATAATTAAAAAAATTAATTAAAATATCAAGTATCCTTTGTTATGAGCTTTAAATAATAAAAATAAGTTTTGATTATTTTAATTATTTTTAAATATGAAATTTTTGGGATCAAAATCAAATTCAACATAATTTGGGGAAAATGATTATTTCTTTTCAGAAATTCGAAATAAAAAAAATACATATTTATACCGTAAAATATAATATTTTGTTTGTATTTTGTTTTTCAAATTATATTATATGTGTGTAAAAGTATTCAAATATATTAAAAATGTATAATTATCTAAAAATTTGGTCTGATTAACAAGAAGTAGCATACAGTTTCAACGTGGAAAAAAAAAAATATTGAATGCACTTATGACACTCAACTGCAAATCTGTCCATAGCAGTTGGGAAGATGGTTATTTAAAGGTACTCAAAATTAGCCAAATTCGATTCACGCAGATATTGTTGCCATCTTAGCTAAATTTTTTCTCTTTCCCAACAAAATTTATAATCTTTGCACACTTTGTACCATATGGAAGCCATTTTACTCTTGGTTTTTGCCTTTCTAACACCAGCATTTTGTAAGCCTCATACGAAATATGAATCAATCTTCAGCTTTGGTGATTCACTTACCGATACCGGAAATTTATTACTCTCGGGAGCCCTCAAATTCCCGGTAATTGGACAATTACCATACGGTGAAACTTTTTTCCACCGTGCCACTGGTCGATGCTCTGATGGCCGCCTCATAATCGATTTTATTGGTATGCACATTTCGAAATTAAAACAAAATTTAATGTGATTTTTCTTCATTTTGATATTTGCTATATTTGTGAAAAAATTGTAGCTGAGGCATATGGATTGCCTTATTTAGCACCATACTTAGCACTGGCCAAAGGTGGTGAGAAATTTGAGCATGGGGTTAATTTCGCTGTAGCTGGGGCCACAGCTCTGGATGCAAAATTCTTTTATAACCTCAAAATTGGACAAATTTTGTGGACAAATGATACGTTAAATGTTCAGCTTGCCTGGTTCAAAAACCACAAGTCCACCCTTTGCTCCACCAAACAAGGTACTAATAATTTTATTTCTATGTCTAATTGATGAATTTTATATTCATTATTTCTATTGGAAATTTATGTATTTATTTGCCCTTCTTTGATTAGTCAAGTCATTTTTCATAA